ATGGTCAGAAGCCTGTGGTGGGAGGCTGCAGTAGGAACAGAGCCAAGATGCATAGGCCATGTTTCTCTAGGAAATGTGGACATTGTATGAGGCAGGTCAAAAGGTTGAGGGCAAAAGTCAAGTTTGTGGAGATAATTCCCATCTTCCTTAGCCATATACCCTACAGCAGCATGTTTGTCACCCTTGTCCTGAGCCCAGATCTAGGCCCAGATTTAGGCAACATATTTGGGGCTCCTCCCAGGAGGGTGAAAGGTGTTGCTTAGCATGCAGCTTTCTACCCTGGGTATTATCCTAGACATGTCCTTATGTCTTGCTGGACAGAGGCCCTGTCCTCTTGTTTAGGACCAAGTCAACACTGTAGATCTGCTATATGGCTCTCCTAGCTACAGGAACCACTGTCTCCTAGATTGCCTGTTAGCACAGCTCGCCACTCAATCCAAGTTTGCTGGACTATCTTGCTCTCCATTGTCGGGACACCTGGGATTTCCCCAGGGTCAACCAGTACTTTCTGCATTGGGATGCTCAGCATATCTCCAAGCAGGTGTTAACCTTGCATTTTCCACAGGGTGGAAGGGACATCCAGCAAGCTGTGCAGGTGAGCCTCTGCATTTACAGTCATAGGCAAAGGGAAGAAAGCCAGTAGGGAGTTCTGCTTAAAGAGATGCAACCCAGAGAAGGAAAGTCAGTGTTCTCAGGTCCCAGAGACACCAGTGAGAGTGGGCTTGCTTCATTATAGAAAGGAAAATCTCATCCCTGGGGATCAAATAAAAATGAGCTAAAAAAATCCCTCAAATAGTCCCTGATTGCATTACTGTCATGCATTTGATCCTTATGCTGCCACCAGTAGATGGAGACCCTGATGTCATCCCCAATTTGCAATTGCGGAAGCAGAGCCTGGAGCAGTTGGATCACCAGCCAAGGCCACACAGGTGGTAAGTGACTAAGCTGGGGCTACACACATGGCCTGGCTCCAAGCTTAGACCCTCCTAGGTTCCCTTGGGAAGTGTGTATTGGAGAAGACAGCAGGCTGAGCTGCAGGGAGCAGAAGTGGAGGGCTAATGTCAGATGCCTCGGGGTCATAACAGAAAGGAAGTGAGGTCATCTCTAGAGACTAGGCTTGGGAATGTTTAGTCATCTTGGTAGAACAGAGTCTGAACATCCACTGTGGGAGAGTCCAGGGAGTTGATCACATGATTAAAAGGAATGCTGGCCAGCAGCAAGAGCCCAGCTGGTGCCGTCTAATGTGAATTTTGGAATGGAACTGATAAAAGGGGTTTTATGAGTTTCTCCAGCCACCTTCCATGCGCAGGGGACCACAGACGAGATGCAGTGTGTCTTGCTGTCTTGTTCATTCCTTACGACCTCACACTTGATTGCAAACCTGGAAGAGCAACATCATGTGTTGATGCACTGAGCCATCTGCAGAGAATAGGATAATGGGATCCCAGGGGGCCAGGATTTGGTCAGGTGAATGATGGAGGCTCCAGAGATGGGCGAACAGAGAGCCCACAGCTGAAGGGCCTGTGAGATGAGAATGGAGCCTTGGAGAATTGGAAGGGGCTGGTAGACTGGAGTGGAAAAGAAGCCCTTAGTGTAAATGTGTACCTCAGTGTTCACTTGTTAGAACAACACAGAAAACAGCCTCTCACTTGCAGTGAGTAGGTGAGTAATAATTTGTGTCAGGCAAGACGAAGTGGATGCTGATATCATTGTTTACTACCAAAGAAAATTGGGGACTGCATAGACTGGTAAGACTGTCCCCAGTCAAGGCCTGGGGTTTGCTAATGAGGTTGTATTACAAGCAGACCCAGCTTTCCAGAAACAGCAGCCGCAGGAGGAAAGAAATAGAGTCATTTTCCTTTGGAGGCAGAAGATTTAACATTGCTTAACAATAACACTTAACATTGCTTAGCCCTTAGCCTCAGGCAAGCTCCTAACTACCCAGTGCTAGGAATTGTCTTTGCCTGCGCTAGCCAGGGTTTTACTTTATTTTTGTGTGGTGTCATTTAGCTTGACAGCCGCCTGCTTTGGCTTGCTTTAAAGATGATCGAGTTCCTCAAAAGCGTAGGAATGAGCCCCTAGATGAAGATGCATTTTCTATCCATGTTTCCAAATTTGACATAATAAGTCAAGGTTACTGACTTCACCTTAAAAACTCCTTTGACATCTCAATGAACAACCTGGGAGCCAAGTCAGCAAGTGGCAGACTACATCCTCTGTAAGGATGGCCAGTGACTTTGTATAGACAGACCTAGTCCTATCTTTGATTAAAAAATTAATTCCACAAATTTTCACATTCTCCTGCTTTTGTGATAAAGAAGGACCTGCTAAATAGCTATTGGTCCCTCACCTCTGGCAAAGGGAGAGAGCAGGGGACAGGAGAATCCCTCCCCAGTCAGGGATGGAGAAAACCAGGTCACCGGCTCTCAGCAGGACTGGATCTGCACACCTCAGAGGCCAGCAGGGCAGATGTCACCTCACCTCTGCTTTTCAATGGACAAACATGAGCCCCAGGGATGGCACACCCAGCCTGAGAGGGAGCTGCGTGTTTTCCCTCTGGTTCCCCAGTTGGAAACTTGGGTTTGTGCTCCTGACTAAAATCCTGGTGTCCAGGTACTCTCTTCACACATCTGTCTGAGCTCCATCATGGCTACTTCTGTTTGCGAGGCAGCCATAGAGGTCTGCCTGCACGTGCAGCTAATCAGGCCTAGCATTGTGTATGGGAAGGGACTTGGTGCCAGCATTATTTTCAATCTAAGATGCCTCCCTTTCAGCCACACTGGTGTCTCAGAGCTGGCAGGGTTTTTGCCAATTCATACATTGTGCAGATAGCTCCTGCATACAAGCAGCATCCACATACTGTCTTTGTCATGGAACTCCTTCAGCAGTGTTTATTTCTAAACAGACTTGTTTGGAGTCAGCCATGATTGGGCATTTCAGGGCTAATTAGGGAAAATAAACAGGAATTGGAAACCTAGAGGCCTTTGTCTTAATAGCTATTACTCTGCACATTTCATCATTATGAGAAAAGGCCTCCTGCTTGTGCCCACTACCAAATAGGATCTCAAGGACAGACTAGGATCATGTCTACTGCCCATACCCTCAGGCCCTCTCTACACTGTAGGTGACCACTAGAACAAGGGAAATAATAAATGAATGAGATTTACAGAGCCTTAAATATTATTTCTGTGTTTTTGATTTACATCAAAAAAAAAAAGGAGCAGTTTCTAAACTCAGGATGCAAGCTGGCCAGGAAGACATTAACATGATTTTTTTCCCCTCCCTTCCATACTTCCCCTAAGAATTTACTCCTTTCTTTGCCTTAACCACAATTTCCATAGACTTCACCAGTGAAAGCCGGAAACCTTATATTTCAAATGAATTTTGGAAATGACTCCAGTTTTCAAAATGAAAACAAAATGCTAAGCTAGGGGAAAAATAGGGGCAGGAAACTAATCATAGATGAGGGGGAAAAGAAAACCAAACCTTACATGATATCATATAAAAGGAAACAGGGTGATATATAAAATACAGCTGCATCAAATCTTTTGAAGCCTGTACTTCCAGTATCCAACCAGGGACAATGTTAAAACTGGTGCCCTGGTAAATACAAGGCTTTATTGTTTCTGAAAATCAACTTAGTTTTCATGTGTTTGTGAGATGCATGTGTGTGTGTGTGTGTGTGTGTGTGTGTGTGTGTGTGTGTGCACTTATATGGGTACATGCACATCTCTTCATGTGAATAGGAAGCTGGCAGCTGACATCAGGCGTTTCCCTTTCTTGAACTCCATCTTCCTCTTTAAGGCAAGGTATCTCAGTGGAACACAGAGCTTGCAGTTGCAGTTAGTCTGGCTAGCCAGCTTGCCCCTGGGATCTTCTGCCTTAGGAGTTCAGGAATGTCAGATGGGACACTGCACCTACCTGACATTTACCTGAATACTGGAGGATCTGAACTCTGGTCCTCACACTAGATGCTTGCTTGTGTGGCAAGCACTTTAAAGGATGAGCCATCTGTCCAGTCCTCACATACTTTTTTAAAGAGCAGATGGTCACCTACGCTGTGGTTGATATAAAATCCAGTATATTATTTTTGTCACTTCACCCACAGAAGTGGAGCCCACATGTCACTGAATGGCAACTGCATCTCCACAGGTCTGCAGCTCAGCTCTGATGACAATGAAGCCTTGTCTGCCCTTTCTAAGGTGATGCTCTGCTGGCCGGCATTCCCCCTTTCTGTGTTTCTTACTGAACTCACTTATTCTCACACTCTCAGCTTATCGGACTCCCATGCAAAGGGGCTGTGAGCCATCTTGGAAAGGTCTTCTCTTTTGTCACGCGCTCCTGCTTGTAGAATAGCAAGACTGGACTCTACACATCTCAGATAACAGCCACAAACTTTGTGAACTGTATCTCATTATCAGGGTGTCTCATTACAGCATATGGGGATCAAGTTAGGTCAGGTTGGCCAAGAACACTTTTCCCACAAAGTTCTTTCTATACCCCTACTTGTCTGGGCCTCTTAGCAATATTTGCTTACTGCCTCAAGGACACAATCCAATTCTAAAAACACCTTCTGGGCTCATGTTTCTCTCTGTCTTTTTAACACACACCTGAAGCTCCAAGGTTAAGGCCAGCCTGCCCTTTCTCTCAGGGAGCTTCTAGGACACAGGGTTTACCATTTTATTGTCTCTAAGCTTGGTGCAGGATGTTCAATACCATTTTCATAGCAATGGCTTAGGATTCCCATTTAGTATCCAATATCCCTGCCGACATGTTCAATTGCAGTGATATACTATTTTCTCCCCTGAAAAAACAACCCTCAAGTGTTTCAATTATTAGCACAGTTGTGAAGATGGCAGCAGGGCTGCAGCAGAAGGCAGTACGGCAAAAAACTCTTAACATATTCCCCCATCTCAAAGCCAAATTTCTAGCTCACACAGATATCTCTAAAGGCTTCATTTGTGGGTGATCTGGGGATGGGCAACCCCTCTCTACCCTACCTGGGTAAGGATGCATACTGCCGCTCCATCCCTTCAAAGCGAAGGGTGTGTGTGCTTCCATCTGGACCCTTTCCAGACACCTGTGGAGAGAAAAGTAATTAGAGTTGAAGATCCATTATACACCCTGGTTACTGACAATGCATCTCAAAATTATAATCAGTGCACAAATGCTGCAGCCGCCTGCCAAAAATTCAACCTGGGGAAAGCGAGTGAGCACTCGGCATTGCTACAGGCACCAATGATCAAGCTACAGACATTGTGCTTGACAACAGTCACTTCTTTCAAAAAGGGTCACTGTCAAGTCAACTCCTTCCTATTTCCATTGCCAGGAATATTCTATCAGGAATTTTCTCTTCTTTGCCAGATTGACATTAGTTTTTAGGACATATTTAGAAATATAGAGAAACTGAGCCAATGGTATAGTGAGTTCCCAGCTATCCTGTGCCTAGGTTGCTCTTATTTTAGGAAGGTACATTTCTTACGATTAATGAACCAATATTAGTTTATGACTGTTAACTAAAAGTCACAGCTTATTCATATTTTTAGGTAATATACTTTCCATCCCCAGGATCATATCTTAGGTTCTATATTACATTTAATTATTGTATTGTCAGAGGCTCCCTCCTCTTGGCTCTGTTTAAACTTTAAAAAAATACATTTATCCTGTGTGCATGTGTTCCTTTGTGTGTGTGTGTGTGTGTGTGTGTGTGTGTGTGTGTGTGTAATACCCTGCTGCACGTATAGAGGTCAGGGGACAAATTGAAGGAGTCCATTCTCTTCCTCTGCCCCTGGATTCTGGGGATTGGACTCAAGTTATAAAGCTTGGTAGCAAGAGCCTTTTCTCAATGCCATCTTGATGCCCCCTTGGCTGTGATTTTTAAAAAGCAACGTGAGCCTTACTGAGATCATAGATATTTCCTTCTTGCCAGGAATCTTAGTTTCCTATGCATTTCTGTCATCCATGTTGGGTAGGGTGTGTGTCTACATGCATGTGCTGCTGGTGGGGTATGGAGGGGAGGAACACCTCAGAGCATGTCTCCACAGGTGGGCAGAATAAACTACTTCTGGTATCTAGTCATTGCACGAAGCCTTTTAGATCTGTCCTGAGAAACTTTATTTCAGCAATACATGAAACAGAAGCAGCGAGGTTATTTTTCTTTAAGATCTTCATATGCACAATCACAACCAACCCCATTTACCTCCTCCAGCTCCCTTCTGTCCCCAAAATATGACCCCTCCCCAACTTTATTATTTCTCTCTCCTCTTCTTTTTCTTTCCTTTCCTTTTCTTTTTTTCTTTTCTTTCTTTCCCTTCCCTCCCTCCCGTTGTTTTTTGGAGACAGGGTTTCTCCCTGGCTGTCCTGGAACTGTTCTGCAGATCAGGCTGGCCTCGAACTCAGAGATCAGACTGCCCCTGCCTCCAGAGTGCTGGGATTAAAGGTGTGAGACACCACCACCCCACTTCCTCTGTCTTAAAATAACCCACTAAAGTTCCAAGAATAAGAGATTGAATGCTGAGCACTACTGAACTTCTTACAGAGAAGGAACAAGGATGGTGACAGATACGGCACACTTGTGTAGGCAGCAAAGAAAACGAAGTGAAAGGTAGGGTTATGATCCCCAGCTATTCCTGTCTATGGGTTTTATTGTACTCTTTGAGATAGGGTCTCACTATATAGCCCAGGCTGTCTTTGAACTCATGAACCTCATGAGTGTGTCTACACTACCACACACAGACCTGGTTTGTTTAGTTTTTAGGTTTTCTTAGGAAGAATTCATATTAAACTAGTGTTGAAAAATATTAATGATGGATGTTTGGAAAGTACCATACTTATGAATCCTAGACTTTCATGGCTTAAGACTTTCACAAATCACCCTTTACTTGTAGCCTTAAAGCTACGATTTAATTCTTCTAGCATAGACATCTAGAATTGGGCTGGACTCATGAGGCTAGCAGTCCATATTTGGTGGCTCAGGGTGCCTGTTGCTGTTCTGGGGAGCTATTTCACAAGTATTCTAGACTTAAGGAGCTGTAGCACACCACCTATCCTCAAGGGACTTTTTGTCTTGTTGGGAAAACAAGCATTAGGAATGTAGTGAAAATGTGTGATGGCGTACCATACAGGTTGCTACCATTTGTAGCACAGATGGAGGCTGAAGGTATTAAGAAAAGCCTCATGAAAGAGGCAGACCTTGGGCCCGATTTCAAAAGACAGGCAGGATGCTTGCACATCAAAGATTATTCCATTTCTCACCACTTGGGTATCTCTCTATGTGCCTCTCTACCGACAGTGCCACACTGTGCAAGGCAGTCACGCAGTGAGCAACCACCCATCCCCTCTTGAATCCTAATGGACACGAGGTAGTGTATTTCCAGTGATGAAGAAATGCAGCCCTCGCTCTTGAGGAGGCAGACCTGCAAACAATTATGCCTCGATGACATCATGCTAGAATGGAAGTGTGGGGAAGGAGGCAGCACCTGGGAGAGCTGAAGACAGCTTCGGATGAGCGTCGATGCTTCTTCCACAATTGAATATGAATGAGGAGTTTTTCTGGGAAAGAAGAATGAAGGGGCAATAGGAGGCACCCTAAATAGAAAGAATATGCATGCAGCAAGGCTGGCAAGACTCGGGTCATTCAGAAACAGAGCATTAAAAGTGAAAGTGTGCTGTTTACCACTGCTGTTAGTAGTGTGTGTGTGTGTGTGTGTGTGTGTGTGTGTGTGTGTGTGTGTGTGTGTGTGTGCATGACACCCTGCTCCACCCCCTCTGGATCTTGCCAAATAGGCTATAGGCTAGCTGGCAAGTGATCCTCGGAGATTCCCCTGCCTCTGCCTTGCTGTCTGTGGGGTGAGTATGTGCCATACCTGGATTCTTACATGGGTTCTGGGAGTTAATGTGGACGCTCTTGCTTTGGACTCAGTAAGTACTTTGCTTACTGAGTCATATCCCTGCCTCCTCCTGCAATGTTGTGTGTGTGTGTGTGTGTGTGTGTGTGTGTGTGTGTGTGTGTGTGTGTGTGTGTGTGTGTGTGTGTGTGTAGTGTATGCACATACATATGCATGTGTGTGAAAATATGTGTATAGGTGCATGTGCATATGCATGTGGGTATACATGTGTATACAGGTACATGTGTATAAGCATGTGGGTGTACATGTGTGTACAGGTGTATGTGTATAAGCATATGGGTATACATGTGTGTACAGATGCATGTGTATAAGCATGTAGGTGTACATGTGTGTACAGGTGTATGTGGATATGCATGTGGGTGTTCATGTATGTACAGGTACATGTGCACATGGAGGGCACATGTATGTACAAGTATACCTGCATATGCATGTGGGTGCTTATGTATGTACGGGTGCACATGCATGTGGGTGCACACGTGTGTCAGGTGCATGTGCAGCTGTGTGCATGTTGAACACAGAGGTTGACACTGGGTGTCTTCCTTGACTGCTTTCCACGTTACACTTGGCTCAGGTCTCTTGCCTGATCACAGAGTGGACCAATGCAGTGAGTGCAGCTAGGCAACTCCTCTGGGGACTCCTGTGTCTACCTACAGAGTGCGGAGATTAGATGTGGGCTGCTCTCTCTGTGTGACATGTTCCTAGATGCTGAGGACCCAAACACCAGTCCTCCCACTTGTGTAGCAATTATCCACAGAGTCATCTTCCCAGCGCCTCTCCCCTGAAACGCTTCTAATGGACTCTTTATAGAACAAATTTAGGTTTATATCAAACAGGGTGGTTTGGAGATTTTCCCCACACCCCTGTTCATACATATAATTAACTTGTCCCATTATCGACATCCCCAACCACAGTGGTACCACCATGACCACCCCAACTCCATGGTTTTTGTTAGGGTTCTCTGTTGTACATCGTATGGGTGTGATAATCACATGACATGTGTCTGCCATCACAGTCTCACAGAATAGTTTCAATGCCTCGGATCCTCTGTGCTTTGCCTGTTCATTTATCTTTCCTGACAACAAGTATATGACATCATATGTCATTGGGAATATGCAAATTTTAACTTCCAGAGTGTCATATAGTTGGAATCATACCCAATGTAGCCTTTCAGATTGGCTTATTTTACTTGGTAATCTGTATTTAAGTTTTCTTCAAGTCGCCCCCCAACTCCCTTATTGTTGTTGAAGCTTGATAGCTCATTTTGTTTTAGCACTGAATAATCTCCATCTTTCTGGGTGTAGCACTGTTTATCCCTTCATCTATGGAAAGGCTTCTTGGTTACTTCCAAGTTTCACCAATTATGAACGAAGCTGCTATAAACATTTGTGTGCGGGTTTTTGTATGGACATACGTTTCAACACCTTTTGGTAAATACTGAGGAGGGCAATTGCTGGATCATATGGTTAGGATTATGTTTAGTTTTGCAAGAAAGTGCCAAACTGCCTTCCCACATGGCTGCACCATCGTGTGCTCCCTTCAGCTCTCAGAACTAGAGCTCCTGCTATCTACTTTTGCAATAGTGTTTGGTGGTGTGTGTTCCGGGCTTTGGCCATTCTAACAGGCCAGTGGTGGCATATCATTTTAATTTTCATATTCCCAAAGACTGATGATTTTATATCTTTGTTCACCACCTGTGTGTCTTTGGTGAGATGTCTGTTAACATCTTTGGGCTGTTTTAAATTGTTCATTCTGTATTGCTGAGTTTGAGCAATTATCTTGTTGATCTTGCATAGCAGTCATTCATCAGATGTGTCTCTGGCAAACATCCTCTATTGTCAGTGGCTTGTCTTTCCAAGGCCTCAACAGTGTCTTTCCCAGATCAAAAGTCTTTAATTTTAACAGAGTCCAGCTTACTGATTATAGCCTTCACTGGGTTGTGTTTCTGGTGTTATTACTAACTTAGGCCATCGAGATAGTCTCCCATGTTATCTCCAGGGAACTCTATAGTTCCAATGATTCCTTATGTTATAGTAGAGAGGTTCCTTGTGGCCATCTGAACCAGAGATGATAAGGGTCTAAACTAGGGGATTTTCCAAAGGATTAAACAAGTGACATAAGGATGTTAAGAAGGTGGATAGATAGCAATGACCGTAAATTAAAGCAAAGGATCTGT